TCAACCGGCTACTGGTTCCAAATGTCGAAGGGCGGCGCACCTAACAGACAAGAATTGCTGGATTGTGTGGGAAGAGCAAAATGCATAAATATGTTAAAGTGATAATTCAAATGGCAATGACATGTTACAAGTTTTATTTATTTATTTTTATTTTTTGGTAATCAGGGGCGGACTCAGTCAGTTCGAACTGTGGGGTCAAAAAATTTTTTCGAACAACGTATCATGAATAAAAAGGAAAAATCGATTGTTTGTTGTTCATGTTCGGTGTTTGCACTCTAAAAAGAAATCGATGAATTATATGATATATCTATGGACTAAATAATGGATGTGGACCATGTGATATGGATATAGATTTAGGATATGAACTTTTCGGGACAGAAAAATTAAGTTTTCAACCAAAAAAAAAAAAAAAGTTCCCAAAAATCTATGAGGTCATTTGACCCCACATGACCCCGTGTGGTCCACCCCTGTTGGTAACCAGAACATGTTTGGTTGAAAGCGTATATTTAAGAAGGGATTAACCTAATCTCCGATTAAAGGTACAAAAGAATAAACTATAACATTAATTTTCTTGATCAAGACAGCAAATACGATGAAATAACTAAAGATGACTATTCTTTTTGGTCTTAGTCATATTTTCATCGTTATATATTAAAATATATTGTCTCTATGTCTCCTCTTTATATTCAGACTTACTACTAGATAAAGATTATATAAATTTATTGTTACAATCCAAATTCGGGAAGTTCATAATTTTGTCCTAAAAGCGCCTCACGAATTTCTTGATGTTTGGATGGATAGTTGAGGCTTCAACTTTCTCCTCGCTTTCATTCGTTACTTGAAAGGTAGAATAATCTCTTTATTGGCACGTTCCCTGTCTAAGTTCATTTTTGGAGAAGTGGAAATTAAAGTCTTAGGGTACAATATAATGGTGGAGGGTGGCGTGAAAATAGGGTGTCACGCCGTTCAAACAAAGCTTTGATCCAATCTGCCACCCCACACGTAATCAATAACATATGTACAATCTCTCTTACTTATATTACCTTTCGTTTTTATGTGTATATAGATATTTAAACTTTATTTATATATAAATCATATGTTAGATCAGTCATATTCAGTAACTATTTGTTAGCTTATCGTGTAGCTATAAACAGCCCTCTTACCAACAGCTTTAACCAACATTTAAAACATTCAACTCATTCTCTTCACCAATATATTCACCTCCAATTTCAAGAAATCTAGTCTCTCTCTATCTAAAATGTTTTGCTTTCCAATATTCCTTCCCAGGATATTTGTTATGTACCTACTAACCGCACTGACTTTATGTGCCAAATTTGACTTTGTACAAACCATAGTATACATTAGCGAACCAACTACAGAGGAATAAGGAACCCATGATATGTAATCAATATCTTCATCTAATTGAGGACACAATCCAGATGACAATTTGAAGTGAACAGTTAAGGGAATACTAACAGTCTTAACATTTAGCATGTTGAATCTTTGAAGCACCTTCTCAATATACTCCTTCTTATTCAAATACAATCTGCCAGCCTTCCTATTTCACGATTTCCATACCAAGAATCTTCTTTACTGCACCCGGATCCTTCATCTCAAACTCCTTGCTAAGTTGAGATTTCACCTTTTTGACCCCTGTTTTATCCTTTGCTGTAATGAGCATATCATCAGCATATAATAATAAATATGTGATCGACCCATCATCTCTTTTTCTGAAGTACACACAGCTATCATAATTACTTCTGATGAAACCATGAGTAGTCATGAATGAATCAATGGTGTGTGCTGTCGTAGGCACTTCAAATTAAAACATATACTCCTCAAAATAAATGTAGTAGTGGAAGTAAGGGTCGATCCTACAAAGAGTGTTTAGTCTATCTTTTATGCTAAATTAACTAAAAATGGGGGGTTTTTGGTTTTGAAACAAATAATTATTAAAAATGGCAATTAACATAAACGCAAATCATCGAATTAAATGAAATCAATAGAACGAACCTTGGTCTAAGTCAACATCCAACGTTGGAGATTTACAATTAGTCATTGATCCACAAATAATTATTAATTCATACTTCTAGTATTCATCATTGGAAAATAATTTCCCATTCGAAACAATTTCCTATTTCTCCTTACTTTTCATTAATTAGAAACAAGAAATCTAATTAATCCTCATTACCAAACAATCCTAGACAAGTGCAAGAATTTAATTTAATAATGACTTTCCGAATTAGAGAAATCAATGAACTAGATAACATAAGCCAAGTGTTTGTATTTAACCTTGATAAATATTCTTCCTAGGATTTGATAATTTCCTAAAGCAGCAAATTAGTAATTCTAGTTGCTTCACAAGTTAAATTAATCAAACAATTACGGATTTGATATTTAACTTAGTTATAGATTGAAACGCATGATAAACTAATGGATCCTTTTATTAATCAAACATAACAATCATGAAATCAAGCATGGAAGAATATTCACTACTGAAAATATAAATTAAACGATAAAAATTAGGTAGATATCACAATTGAAAACGATTCCAAGGCTTTAATATCCTTCGACCAAGAGATGAAGTTTGGCAATATATCAATAATCTTGAGCACAAAGAGATAAAAATAGGGTTGGGGCGTTTTCTAGGTTTTGGACGAGATTTGGGGTATATATATCATGTACAAAATTTGTTTCCATAAGAATTTCAATCAGAAAAGGAAACTAGATTTTTCTTGCCGCGATTGACTTGGGCTGTCGCTCAGGCAAAACTTGGGCAGTTGTTCGAGCATTGCTTTTGGTTTCGGTAATTGATTTTTGGTGTTGGACGGTCACCCAGATTTTATAACTGGGCTGTCGCACAGGCAAAATTTCTTCAAAAAGTTGTATTTTAGTCCCGAATTTCATTCTTGATTCTTTTAAATCATTTTTCTTGCAATTTCAACCCTTGAACTTCTAATTGCGTCCAATTGAACCTGTAACATCTTTAATCTTCATTCCATTGCTTTTCTCATCTAAGGATTATTTGCAACTTGGTCCTTGAACTTCCAATTTCTTCCATTTAAGTACTTTTTTCTCTCTTTTCTTCTATTTTATGCCATGATCATCCAAATGCAAACTAAATCACAATATAAGGGTACTTAGCACATTAAGGTGTTAATTAATCATAAAAATACAAGAATTAATGGATATAAATCACAATATTTCATGTCTTATCAAATTCCCCGCACTTAGTTTTTGCTCGTCCTCGAATAAAACTCAAACTCACTTTCATAGGGTTGCAATGCCGCATACATAGAACAATCAAACTCTTCAAAACACATAACAATTCATGGATAAACATTCTCACACAACTTATAATTAATTAGCAAGCATTCTCAAATGAAGATGGATGAACCAAACGTGTAGACCCTCACGGAAGTAAGCGCTCAACTTTCATATGTCAAGTTCATTCCAATAGAAGTGTCCTGTCATACGCTTGCATATCTTCTAATTCTCCATCAATTAGATCACATGCATTACACAAATCATAATGTCGTTTTCACAAATTGTAATGTGGGCTAGGGTCTAGGTAGGGGCGGACCCAGACAGTTTGAACTATGAGGTTAAAAATGAAATTTTTTTCGAACAATGTATTATTAACGAAAATAAGATCATACGCTACTACAATAGGATTTGGGTTTGGGCTTTTTAGGCATTGGGCTAGGGAAATTAACTGGGTTGGCTCACTACTTTGGCAGAAAATTACGTTTTAAGCAAGGAAAAAAATCCAAAAAATTGTGAGGTCATTTGACTCTACATGACCTCATGTGGGTCAAAGTGTGTGGCTCCAAGTGTGAGATATTTGGGTAAGTAACTCAAAAGCCATAGAAACTAGTGGAGTAAAAATAAATTAACTCAGCTCATATGTACATAAAACATGTAAGATCAAATCTCTCCACTCATAGCTTTTTTGCATCTATTTCACACAACCCAATCATTTTCTTATGATTCTAGGAGGAATCATGAACATAGAGTAATTATGGAACATTGAAAATCATTTTCTCCATCACTTTTTTTCCTCTTTTTCATCATTTTTTTTCTCAAAACATTGCATTAATAATGGAACTTATGAACTGAAAGTGAATAATATGTTCCATTCCACCATCATAATCCTACCAAAATTTTAGACACCCCCACATTTATTTCTTTCGCACTCCCATATGTATCAAAATGAAGAACAACGCTCCACTAGCTTCACGGCTTGGGTAAAGATATTGTTTTTCTAGTTTTAAAACTTGTAACATGTGTTCAAAAAAAGAAAAGGCTATAAAGCTCAAAGAGGTTCAACAAAGGGAAAATTAATTACAAGGTAGGCTATTTGGCTAAGTTGGATAACTTATCCAACAAAAATGGCCTTAATTATGTTTATGCATGCATGTATCAATATGGCCTCGAAAAAAATCAAGGCAAGTTCTAGATAAGCAAATTAATGGAAGAATATCACTCATAAAAGAAAATAGTGAGACTAATATATATGTCTCAGTCATAAGCTCAAAATCTTACTGGCTTTTTGTCTACAAAATCTAGTTACTACCATTCTCAAAGAAAATAGCCACACTAATTAACTCTAAGTTGGGAGATTACTCATTCAATCATGTTATAAATTCTTCAGAAACTTAATTGAATCTAGCAAATAGCATACACAACTAAAATTATTCAAAACCACTTTGTTTTCTTCCCCTTATGTCGAAATTTATCAAAAAGTCAAAAATAAACACAAAAATACGAACTGAAAATTTTAGACACAACCTAAATTTCCTCCCCCACAGTTAAAATTTAAATTGTCTCTAATGTAAAGTGAAATATCAAGAAGAGAACAAATTTAACCTAAAATATGAATGCAAATACGAAAATGAAAAGAAAAATAAAAAGTAAGGAACGAACTCCCCTTGGCTTGTCTCTCAAGCAGCGCCTTTCTTCATTGTCTTTGGCTAGACTTATTGCTTCCTTCTCCTTCCTCAACCGGCATCAATTGGGTTCCCAAGATCCCATGTTCTCACCTCATCCATTTGGAAACCTGTATAGAAAGGCCTCTCGTTAGCAATTGGCAAAACAATATGTGAACTTTTACTTGACTTTGATGACTTTGGAGAAGCATCCAATGCTGCAACGGTTTCCTGCAAGGTAGTAATCGAGGGTAGCTCCTGATTCACATTCTCAATATGCTTATCAATGGCAACTTTCACTGCATTATTTTCATCAAGTTCTAAAACTTCCTATTCTAAATTATCGATCACTTGAATAGAATAAACAGGGTTAGTTTCATCAGGATGTTTTATGGCATCATAGATGTTAAATTCACTAATTTTATCATCAAATTCCATAGTAAGCATGCCACTATAAAAATCTATTTTAGCTTTGGACATCCTTAAGAATGGTCTTCCTAGCAAAATGGGGATAGTCTGATCACTATATCCCATATCAAGCACATAGAAGTCAGCAGGAAAAACCAAATCATTAATTTTCACAAGAATATCCTCAACCACACCCTTAGGATAGGCATTAGATTTATCAACTAGTTGAATTATGACACCAGTTTCATTCAAAGGTCCAAGTTTTAAAGAAGCATATACATAATATGACATGACATTAATAGACGCTCCTAAGTCTAACATGGTCTTTTCAAACCTATTGTTACCTATCGTGCAAGGGATGCTAAACATGCCTGGATCTTTGCACTTTGTAGGGAGATTTCTTTCAATGATTGCAGAAATATTTTCCTCTACGTTTATCTTTTCACACCTTTCAAGTTTCTGTTTTCTTTTAATGGTACATAATTCCTTCAAAAACTTAGCATAATGAGGTACTTGTTTAATAGCATCCAACAATGGAATGTTTACCTCACATTTATGGAAACTTTCATAAAGTTCATGATTATGTTCATCTAGGTTCTACTAAAGCCTAAGGGAAAGGGGGCACTAGTTTATACTCAGAAATGATTGGAAACTTAGGTATGCCATCATCGTTGGGAATACTTTTTTCTTCAGTGACATCTTTCTCCTTTTCCTACTCCAATGATGTAGGGGCTACCCTTGGAATTTCAACTTTTTTACCACTCCTCGACAAGATTGCACTTACATTTTCCCTTGGATTGACCATTGTTTGAGAGGGTAATTTTCCCGAACCTTGTGCTTCCAACCTATTGATTGTGGTTGCCATTTGACCCATTTGATTCTCCAAACTTTTAATACTTGCCTTTGCTTCTTGTTCGAATTGTTTTGTTTCCTGTTGAAATTGTAAAATGTTAGTGGCCAAAGACTTAACAATAACTTCCAAAGGCATACCTGAACTTGAAGTTTGGTCCTGTTGTTGTCTAGGAGGAGATAGCTGGCTGTATTGTTGGAAGATTGGTTGATTCACTTGTTGATTCCCATAGCTAAGATTAGGATGATCCTTCCATCCTAGATTATAGGTGTTCGAGTAAGGATTATAATTCCTTTGTGGTTGTCCAGGAAAGCTCCCTACTGCATTAAATTGTTCATCTTCTTGAAGAGTTGGGCACATGTCAGTTGGATGTCCTGCCACCGAACAAATTCCACATGCTTTTGCCGTTTGCATATTACCTGCAGCCATTTGTCGAATAAGAGAAGCTAGACTCGCAAGTTGTTGTTCAATAGATGAAACATTTAGCTCATTAACAGGTCCAAAAGGGGTGTCATGTTTGCAATCAAATTCCTCGCGCCCTTTGAAGTTTTATCCACTAAAGCTCCTCCACTTGCAGCATCAATCATACTCCTATATGTGGGTATAAGCCCTTCATAAAAATACTGGATGAGTAGTTGTTAACTGATTTGATGATGGGGACAGCTTGCACACAGTCGCTTGAAATGCTCCCAGTATTCATGTAAGGATTCTTTGTTGTCCTGCATTACGCCACAAATTACTTTTCGAATGTTTGCTACCCTTGAAGCTGGAAAATATTTCTCTAAAAATAACCTATTCATCTCCTCCGAGGTTGTAATACTTCCGGATGGTAGATAGTAAAGCCAATCCTTAGCGGAATCCTTCAATGAAATTGGGAAAGCTCTCAATTTGATTTGCTCTTTAGTTACCCCTGCGGGTTTCATACTCATGCATACCGTATGGAATTCCTTCAGATGTTTGTGAGGATTTTCACCTATAAGACCATGAAAAGAAGGCAAAAGATGTATCAGTCCAAATTTTAATTCAAAAGTAGTATTAGCATCTAAATTAAGAAAAGTTATGCATAAGGGTCGTTGATACAAATCTGGAGTTGAAAGCTCTTTCAAAGTTTGATTCCTTGTCATGCCAATCCTCAACTTGCGCAAAGTTCTTTCTATTTCTGGATCAGACTACAAATCACTTGGTTAGAGGATCAAGTTATGGGTATAAACAATCAAGGAAGCAAAAAGAAAGAAAAACAAAACTGAACAAAATCTTTTTTATTTTTAAACAAAAACCAATGAAACAAATAAAAAGCACAAAAATAAACTAAATCACTCCCAAGTGACAGTACAAAAATTTGGTGCGTGCTTTCATATGCACTCCAAATTAAAACATATACTCCTCAAAACAAATGCAGTAGTGGAAGTAAGAGGTCGATCCCACAAAAAGTGTTTAGTCTATCTTTTATGCTAAATTAACTAAAAAAGGAGTTTTTGGTTTTGAAACAAACAATTATTAAAAATGGTAATTAACGTAAACGCAAATTATCGAATTAAATGAAATCGGTAGAACAAACATTGGTCTAAGTCAACATATACCGTTGGAGATTCACAATTGGTCATTAATCCACAAATAATTATTAATTCATACTTCTAGTATTCATCGTTGGAAAATAATTTCCCATTCAAAACAATTTTCTATTTCTCCTTACATTTAATTAATTAGAAACAAGCGATCTAATTAATCCTCATTACAAAACAATCCTAGATAAGCGCAAAAATTTAATTTAATAATGACTTTTCGAATTAGAGAAATCAATGAACTAGATAACACAAGCAAAATGTTTGCATTTAACCTAGATAAATATTCTTCCTAAGATTTGATAGTTTTCCAAAGCAGCAAATTACTAATCCTAGTTGCTTCACAAGTTAAATTACTCAAACAATTACGGATTTGATATTTAACTTAGCTATAGATTGAAACGCATGATAAACTAATGGATCCTTTTAGTAATCAAATATAACAATCATGAAATCAAGCATAGAAGAATATTCAATACAGAAAATATAAATTAAACGATGAAAATTAGGTAGATCTCACAATTGAAAACGATTCCAAAAATTCAATATCCTTCGACCAAGAGATGAAGTTTAACAATATATCAATAATCTTGAGCACAAAGAGAGAAAAATAGGATTGGGGGTGTTCTCTAGATTTTGGATGAGATTTGGGGTGTGTGTGTGTGTATATATATATCATGTACAAGATTTGTTTTCATAAGAATTTCAATCACAAAAGGAAACCAAATTTTTCTTGTCGCGATTGACCTGGGCTGTCGTTCAAGCAAAACTTGAGCAGTCACTCAGGCATGACTTTTGGCTTTGGTAATTGATTTTTGGTGTTGGGCGGTTGCCCGAATTTTATAACTGGGCTATCGCCCAAGCAAAATTTATTCCAAAAATTGTATTTTAGTCCCGAATTCCATTTTTGATTCCTTTAAATCGTTTTTTTTTTTGCAATTTCAACCCTTGAACTTCTAATTGCGTCCAATTGAATCCGAAACATCTTTAATCTTCATTATATTGCTCGTCTCATCTAAGGATTGTTTACAACTTGGTCCCTGAACTTCTAATTTCTTCCATTTAAGCACTTTTTTCGCTTTTTTCTTCTATTTTATGCGATGATCATCCAAATGCAACCTAAATCACAATATAAGGGTACTTAGCACATTTAGATGTTAATTAATCATAAAAATGCTAGAATTAAAGGATGTAAATCACAACATTTCATGTCTTATCAATCAAACATGTTGTACCACTGCCTTGGTGACTGCTTTCGCCAATATAAGGACTTCTTCAATAAGCACGCATAGTCTTCTTTCTCAGAAATTATGAAACTCTCAAGTTGTTACATGTAGATGTTCTCCTCAAGTTCTCCATGTAAAAAAGCTGTCTTGACATCCATTTGTTCAAGTTCCAAGTCATTCCTTGCTACAATCCCAAGTAAAACCCGAATTGAACTATGCTTTATGACTGGGGAGAACACATCTGTGAAGTCAACACCTGAAATCTGACTATAACCCTTTGCTACCAATCTAGCATTATACCTAGCATCTTTAGTCCCGATGTCCCTTATTTCCTTTTGAACACCCATTTGCAGCGAACAACCCTCTTATCCTTTGGTAGTTTCACCGAGTCCTAAGTACAATTTTTATTTAGTGATTTCATCTCTTCCTGTATAGCAATCAATCATCTGCTAGAATCACTGCAGCTGACTACTTCTGTATATGTAGACTCTTCAGTGAAATCAATTTTGTTCAGCCATATTCAATGCATATACAACCAAATCTGCTTCCCCATACTCTTGTGGAGGTTTAATTTGTTTGCGAGGTCTATCCTTAGCAATCAAATAATGTGGTACTGCTGGTAGCGTAGGCAAAGTAGACGAAACATTATTGTCTGTCAATTCTAAGCTGAACTATTCTGAAATGGATTGTTCTTCAACATCTTATTGTTCTACTAGACTAATTTTCAACACCACCTGAGTTGAATGATTCTGTTTCTCTGCTTTATCAGAATCCCCACGAGGTAAACCATAAACTATAGCAAGTTCATCAAATACTATATCCCTACTAATCAGCACCTTTCTCGTTTCTGGACACCACAATTTATATCCTTTCACACCTGATTTGTATCCAAGAAAGATATACTTTCTAGACCTAGGCTCCAACTTCCCATTATCCACATGAGCATAAGCAAGATACCCAAAAATCTTCAAATCAGTATAGCATGAGGTTTACCATACCATACCTCTTTTGGGGTCATTTTCTTAATGACAATTATAGGTGAGCAGTTGATCAGAAAACAAGCTATGGCAACAGCTTCAGCCTAAAAAGTCTTAGGTAGCCCAGAGTTTGAAAGCATATACCAAACCTTTTCCATAATGTTCTATTCATCCGTTCTGTCACACCATTTTGTTGAGAGTTCCAAGCAATACCAAGTGTCTAAAGATATCTTCTGCCCTGTAGAAGTTATTGAATTTATCTGAACAAAACTCCAAATTATTATCTATGCATAGACACTTAACCTACTTTCCAGTTTGCTTTTCAATCATTATTTTCCACTTTTTGAAGGTTCCAAACACATCACTCTTCTGCTTCATGAAGAATATCCAAACGTTTCTGGAAAAATCATCAGTTACTGTTAACAAGTAATATCCACCTCCTCTTCAAGGCACCTTGGCCGACCCTCAAAGGTCTAAACGGATATACTCAAGTGTTTACTTCTTGTTGTGTCTATCGATAGTGAATCTGACTCTCTTTTATTTTCCCAAAGACATAGTGCTCACAAAACTTCATTTTACTAGTCTTCTGCTCATCAAGAAGTCCCCTTCTACTCAACTCTTCCATGTCATTCTTACTCATATGTTGAAGTTGAATATGTCAAAGTTTAGTAACTTCCTCACAGTCAAAGAAGAAGTTGAAACTGTTGCATCATCTGTAACTGTAGAACCTCGCAGATTGTACAACTGTGTAGAGTTTTTCTGTCCCTTTAAACCTACAAGAACACCCTGGCTCACTTGCAAAACTCCACCCTCATCAGTATATTTATACCCCTTTGAGTCAAGTGCACTCAAAGATATAAGATTTCACTTTAGTTCTGGAACATGCCTAACGTCTGTAAGTGTTCTGACAACACTATCGAACATTTTGATTATAACTGTACCAACTCTAACAATTTTACAAGGTGCATTGTACTCAAAGATATAGCTTAGAGAATGAATCCTAATATTATATATGTTTATCTCCTTTCATTACAAATTCTTTTAGGGTTATATTGATTTTTTACATGTATTTAGGTCACCCTATCAAGGGTCGGTTTTGAAACTGGGAGGAAGAAGAAAAAGCTTGTACTCTTGTTCTCCGTTATAATAGTAATAATAATAAAAAGAAGCATGCAAATTCAAGTAGACGCAGTTGTTACAGTGCATAACCATTTGGAATCAGGGTATTGATATGAACAAAATTACAGGAAGAAGGATGGGTGGTTTATCGCGCATTTAAGAAGCCAACTCCAAATCAAAAGCAAGGTTTTGAAGCTTGGGACAATATTTACTATACTAGATCAATCAACAACAATTACAAGACTAATTCATCATATCCAAGCACTCCAAGCTCAATGCAACCTTTTGATCTAATTAATCAAAGAACAAATTTTCAGCATTCTTCATTTGGTTTGGTTTTGGAAAATTTGAACTTCTAGAACTCAATAGCCCAGCCATGTTAATGAGTGATTTCACAAGGAAAGGAAGTTTAAGTTTCGACAGTAATGCAATCACTACAAAAAATAACTGATTTCGCGACAAAAAAATGTTATCGCAAAAACTGAAATTTTGTTGTAAAAGTAATTTAGTGATGACAGTATGTTTGTTGCAGGTATTATCACTCT